CAGCCCAACTTTCTGCTAATTTTTTCCATTTTGTTCATTGATAGAACAATGTGGATGTGAACTAGTGTAGGTGTTTCTCAATTTTCTGCCTTTTTTTTATGTTACTATTGATCAGTACCCATATTTGATCTGGAGCTGTGATAGAGTGTTTTTGATAGCTAGAATTTCCAAGAACTGATCAGAATTTGGGGCTAGTGATTCTTGTGGGGGTGCAATGAGTTGACTGTGTAATATTGCAGGGAATATTGGACAACCAGTTTGCTCAAATTCAAGCCCTTCAAGATGCAAGTGCCCCTAACTTTGTTCAAGAAGTTATTGCCTTGTTCTGCAATGATGCTGAAAGGATCATAACGGAATTGAACAAATATGTGTAATCTCAAACTTGAGAGGCTATTCTATGCTGTTAGCATTCATTTGATCTTATATAGTGCTGTATATATTTGTGTGTATACATATATGTTTGGTAGATTCTGCGTTTTGATTTATGGTTAGATTTACAGGGGTAGTGAAAATGTTGATTTCACCAAGTTGGATTCTCATGTTCATCAGCTGAAGGGAAGTAGCTCAAGGTACTGTAATTTTCCTGTTCTAGTAGTTGACCTGCTTAATTGATAGTATCAAACTTGTTTGTGTTGGTGGTTATGAGGACATAGTGCTAATGCTGAGGTTATGCTTGGAATAAATTCATAAGTTTTATAAATTTGTACTTATTTTAATTTTAAAAAATGCAAATTCTATTAGGAGATGGGTAAAATTAAGCTCATAGATGGCACATGATATTCCTTGTTAACAAATAAAGAACAGAATTCGTATTTAACTAAATCCAGATGTGCAGACTTCATATGCGAATCCATAATTCTTTTAAATAAAAGATAGTGATCTCCTACCTTGTATGATAAATTTGATAGAATTTTTTTAATGTTGTTTAAATTTCATGTAAAATTGCATATGAGTTTAATTTTTATAGTTTAGAAAGAAGTAAAGGTTGTTGTGGAGGGGATATCAGTTTGTATGCAAAATATTTGCAGTTTTAATTGAATGTTTATAACATCCTTAAAATCCTTTATAAAATAAAGAGGATGACTCAAAATTAAAAAATCAAAAGTTTAGAACCATTTATTCCTGATCCTATCAAAATCTCCTACATCATCAACCCCATCGGAAGATCTTCTATTCCTCTCCTTCTAAATTACCTAAAAGATGGTACATGGGACGATTCCACATAATTGGTTCTCTTTTGGGAGTCAATTATAACAAAGAGTAAAAGTAGGTTTTCAAATTCGTCCTTGTTTGATTCAACCATCACTTGTTCTAGTTGATTAATAGACCCTGCCTCCTCTATCTCACTCTATCTCTTTCTTTATTTAGTTATCTATCTATGTATTTATTTATTTATATAATACACTTGCGATAAATTTTAATTTGACCCCTTACGATTTGTAGTTTTTTAATCTAAGGTATTGTGATTTTCTTTCGTAACTCACTACTTCATGGTTCAAACGTTACTTAAATTTACTGTCTCATAATACCATAAGAGTTAGAGGGAATTAAACAATATACTCATTGGAGAGACTAGTTAATCAGTTTGGCTAACAAATGAACCATGAGTTAGTGAGTTGTCCAAAAAAAAACTACAAACTCTTTAATTATAAAACCTCAAATCATAAAATGTCAAATCGAAAAATTTAATAAAATAAAAACATACTAATAGGATAAAGTACTCTTACATTAAAAGTATATGTTTTAAATTATAACAAAGACGGTAATTAAGGAATTTTATAAAAAAATATTTGTAGGATGAAGTATGCTTCAAACTCTCTAATTTGAGGGTTGCACTAATTGGGAGTATAGAGAGGTTATAAGGAGTTTAAAGAACTACATAGGTAGGCTAACCAATTAGGTACAAACTCTATCATCATCAAAAATCAAAAGTTGGGTAAAAATTCAACATGATTCGATAAACTTATTTTAAATGCCTGAGTACTTTTGTTCATGTTGAAGGCTGCTGAATTGGTGCTTCGATTGATTTTATACTTTTTACATGTTGCCTTAAGTTTGATATTCATCATATGATAATTGGACTTAGGTTGAGTTATGATTGAAACTCAAAAGTAAGGCCTTTTCGTAGTTCACTCAATTTTCCATATTTGGTCCTCCAGCATTGGTGCTCATCGGTTGAAACTTGCTTGTGGTGATCTTCGTCAAGCATCTGATGACAGAAACAAAGAACGGTAAGGATTACTTTTTGAACCACACACCCAAAAACCATATCTTTTCCATTATGGAGTTTTTTCTTAATCTTGCAGGTAGAAAATAATTTGCAAGGTTTTATTGATCCTCAGATTTGATTCATATTCGGAGTTTGTTTATCTGCTGTATGCCTCAAGATTAGACTTTTTTGTCAAAAACTCTCCCTGTATCTCTCTGTTTTTGTGTAATGGATTTGGTAGTCAATATCTACAGGTGCATTCAAGCATTAAACATAATCACCCGCGAGTATTGTCTCTTACGTAACAACTTCCAAACCTTGATTCAGGTAATCATAATATTCTTCCCCCCTCTGAGTTTCCCATTTCGATTTCTCTTATCTTCTTGCTAGCATTTTGGGATTTCAAGTGGCAGAATGATAGACTGTTATGTTTTATAGGATAAGAAAAACGTTGATGGAATCCAAGAATGCTTCCTGAGGGAATTA